AATCACTATAACTTGTATTTCGAATACCATCTCCAACTAAGAAGTAGATGCAACACTTTATAAGATTTAATATTGAAAGACTTTATTATTGTTTTGAGGATTTGAAGCTTATGTAAGACTAAAGCTTCTAAACCCATGATATAGTAAATACATATTTGTAAAATATTCTAAAACAATTATTTAGATTATTTTATACAAATCCCACCAAGAATAAGTTTTCTTATTCCTCTGGAAGTTGAGTTATTAGAAAGCAAGCTTCTAATGACAAAGAAAGTGGGAGGCACATAGAACTTAAAGTAACTCAAGAACCATCGCATGATGTAGCAAGAGTTGAAATTAGTTTTAACAAGAAATTGTTAAACATGAATAATAACTATTCAGAAACACAAACTGTCTGTCACCTTGTTGTGGTTACATATTTATTGTTCGTTCTGTCTTGTAGGGTTCAACAATGATCCTTCCGCATGTTCACCTACAGAAACCTTGTTACGACTTCTCCTTCCTCTAAATGATAAGGTTCAGTGGAATTCCTAAAACGTCACCGACGGCGAACCGCCCACATCGCTGCGGTCCTAACACTTCACCGGACCATTCAATCGGTAGGAGCGATGGGCGATGTGTAAAAAGGGCAGGGACGTTGTCAACGCAAGCTGATGACTCGTGCTTACTAGGAATTAATCGTTGAATACCAACAATTGCAATGATATATCCCCATCACGATGAAATTTCAAAGATTTCCTGGGCATGTCGGCCAAGGCTATAAACTCGTTGAATACATCATCACATATATGGAAAAAATCATCTATAACATGTGATGCGACATCAACCTCCGGCGCATCTTCTGGTCTTCAGTTGCGGTGGAGATCTGGACATCACAGTGCAAACTCGTTAGAGCCGTCCTAGGGACTGTGCCCCGGGAGCGGACTCCGACGGTCAAGTTAGATCAGCTAGAAGATCTGAGATGGTCCTCCATAGCTGGAGAGAACCATCTTGGTGCTAGTGGTAGTCTATGGTGGTTGACGGCGGCGGGTGGCGGTTGAGCCACCCTGCCGGAATATAGTGGCGGCTGAGCCATGGGGAAGATCTAGGGAAAAGGTCCCTCTCCATGGAGGAGGTACTGTTCATTATATAGGGGGCAATTTGGTCAGGCCTTGGGCCAGCCCAATTCAGGCCCAGCTAGCAAGGAGCTGGGCGAGGCCGCCCGGAGGCGCCGGGCGGGGCGTGCGGGCGCGCACCAGGAAAGGATGGCAAGGGAGTACCAGGCAAGGGAGCGCCTGGCCTAGCCGGCAGGAGAGTCCCCAGCAGGGGTGGCAAGGGAGTCCCCAGCAAGGCTCGCAAGGGAACGCCAGGCAGGGCTGGCAGGAGCGCACCAGGCCAGGCTGGCGTGCTAGAGCAGTCTAGGCCATGCCAATGGACCATACATCATCAAGTCCCCCCAGTCTGGTGTTATTGGTACGCGGCCAATGACATCGGACTGGACTAAGTCGTATAAACCAACAGGAGAGTCCCCAGCGAGGCTGGCAAGGGAGTCCCCGGCAAGGTTGGCAGGAGCGCGCCAGGCCAGGCTGGCGCGCTAGAGCCGTCTGGGCCATGCTAATGGACCATATATCATCAAGTCCCCCCAGTCTGGTGTTATTGGTATGCGGCCAATGACATCGAACTGGACTAGTCATATAAACTAACAGGAGAGTCCCCAGCGAGGCTCGCAAGGGAGTCCCTGGCAAGGTTGGCAGGAGCGCGCCAGGCCAGGCTGGCGCGCTAGAGCGGTCTGGGCCATGCTAATGGACCATATATCATCAAGTCCCCCCAGTCTGGTGTTATTGGTACGCGGCCAATGACATCGGACTGGAACTAGTCATATAAATTATGCGTCGTCAAGTCCCCCTAGTCTGATGCGATTGGGTTGCTGACAATCGGATCGGACTAGATAAAGCACCAATACAATAAATAATAAAGTGAAATGACCGAACCTCGCCCACGAGAGTCGTGGGGTTGTGCGATGAGCCAAGCATTGCTTATGTAGCTTGAGATGACTTGATACTCCTTCATTGAGAGGAGTGCGAGCCGATCGGTGCGATGCAACGTAACTGTTGCTGCGATCATGCGGACCGAGGCTGCTAAAGAGTGTTACGCGACACTGATGTCGGTGGAATGTCAGACCGGGGTAGATAAGAAGCGTAAGCTTGCCATTCAGTCCCTGAGACTGTTATCCGACGTGATTGTTGTGGTAGCAATGCGAGATGGGATGTCACCAGTAACCATCTACATAGTCTGCATTGATAACCATCTTGAGGATCTTTCTTGCTCGGGCTACACCTAGCTAGATTGCGGCGTACCAACCTTATTACCCCCCCCCCTTTCTTAGAGGAGGCGAGGAATAGATTCCGAGAGCTGGGCGACTTGGTTGCTAGCGAGGGTCACGCAGTAAGACTATTGTCGATAGCCAGACAACAGAATTCTTGAGGAACAGGTAGTGAGGCTATAGGTAGGAAACATGCAGTGAGACTGTTGCCGAGAGCCAGGCAGCAGAGGTGCTAAGGGATAAGCGGTGAGGCCAGAGGTATGGGTTGCGCAGCAAGACCGTTTCCAAGGGCCAGGAAACAGAGATGTTGTGGGGTACGCGACGAGGCTACATGTAGGGTTGCACAGCGAGACCATTTCCGAGAGCCAGGAAACAGAGATGTCGTAGGGTACGCGGTGAGGCTACAGGTAGGGTTGCATAGCGAGACCATTTCCGAGAGCCAGGAAACAGAGATGTTGTGGGGTACGCGGCGAGGCTACATGTAGGGTTGCACAACGAGACCATTTACGAGAGCTAGGAAACAGAGGTGCTGTGGGATACGCGACGAGGCTACAGGTAGGGTTACATAGCAGGACTTTTTCCGAGAGCCAGGAAACAGAGGTGTTGTGGGGTCGTAGGTAGCCGGGCCGTTGTCGGGATGACCTTCTTGCTGGAGAGTATCCTCACTATAGCAGGTCGTAATGTGGATAACACTTCACCGATCGTCCGAGCACAAGAGAACCATGATGACTGTGAGGGAGGGAGCACCAAGATCATGGTGTGGAATAAGCTTGTGATGCGCGACTTATGGCGCGCGACGATGGAGAGTGGCTTGGGCTTAGCAGCCAATGAACATGGAGATGTCTTGCGGGAAAGCATCGCGTATAACAGATCGGGTTTGGCTGTTAACGATCATAGATAGATCACGCGAGAGAGCATCGCGTGGAATGGATTGGGCTTGGCTGCCAGCGATCGTAGATAAATCACGCGGGAGAGCATCGCGTGGAATGGATCGGGCTTGGCTGCCGACGATCATAGATAAATCACACGGAAGAGCATCGTATGGAATGGTCGGGGCATGTTGCTATACTGGAGTTGGGCAGAGAAGCCAGGCGACTCAAGGCAAGGGTACTGAACCTCGCATGCGGAGCTTGCCGCTATAATGGAGTCGGGCTGAGAAGCCAGGCGACTCGAGGCGAGGGTACTGAACCTCGCATGCGGATCTTCCCGCTATAATGGAGTCAGGCTGAGAAGCCAGGCGACTCGAGGCGAGGGTACTGAACCTCGCATGCGGAGCTTGCCGCTGTACTGGAGCCGGGCTGAGAAGCCATGCGACTCGAGGCGAGGGTACTGAACCTCGCATGCAGTGCTTGCCGCTGTAATGGAGTCGGGCTGGGAAGCCAGACGACTCGAGGCGAGGGTACTGAACCTCGCATGACTGGGCGTAGCACCCTACAATCTATGTGTCTAGCTCGTGTGACCAGTCTGGGTTAAAGTGGAATGGTACCTGATGCTTTGCTGCCTCGCTAGTCGTACTAATAATTGAGGCATCGGTGTCTTGGCTGTTTGCGGAGAGCTATGTGGCAGTGTTACTTAGAGCTTGATAATGTAGCTACTGTTAAGAGGTGCGTAACGAGGCTGCTGTCAGGAACTGGTCAGCAGGGCCGCTGAGGCCCGGGCAGCGAGCTGCTAGCGATAGGTGAGCAACACGACTATTGAGAGTTGGACCATGATGCTGCTCTTTCAACCCGGAATACTAATGTCGTCTCGGGAATGTACTACCGTGCATAGTATCAATTCTTCATGTACTTTAACTCTGCCCCTTCGGAATAAAAAGTACTTCTGCATGGTGTCACTAATCCTTCTCCCCCCCCCCATTTTCTTTTTATTATAGGAGGCGAAGAGAGAGAATGTTGGATGCATAGCTGCTGAAATCTGAGCAATACAGCTACTAGAAAGAGCTAGGCGATTCAAGCAGGCCGACAAGAGCTGGGTAGCGCTACCTTTGAGAGTTGGGCAAGGCAACTGCTGGGAGGCAGACAATGTAGCTGCTAGTGATTGGGCTTTGCGGTTGCTGAGCTAGGTCGTCGCTGCTGAAGATCGAGCTGCGCGACTACTAAGAGTTGGACAGCAAGACTAGCGGGGCCGGTCAACATGAATGATGAGAGAGGAGTAGTTAGATTTCCTGGGGCCCGTCAACACGACTGCTAATAGCCGGTGCAGTGCAGTTGCTGATGGTTATTTCTAAACGCTTCACGAGTAACAGTAGTACATTACTCTTCTCCTTCCCCCCTCTTTTTTTTTTTTTTTTTTTTTTGAAAATGATGAGTGAGTTTGGACCTCAGCGTATATTCTGAGGGCGTATCTTGTTTGAAAGACATCGCGATACTTGAGCGTTAAACGACTGATTTGCTAGTTTATTCTTGCAAATAATTGGGTTATTTTCGTATTGAACCAGCCCAATAAAACATCAATTAATTACTGCAGTTTGATAGGAGAAACCCAGTTGAGATAAGTTAACCCACTTTACGAGTTGTGAGCCCATTAACAATTTGTTAGCCCAAGTCACTTAAAAAGTGTGAAAAGAATTTGCTGATCCAATAACTACAATGGGCCCACCATGCTTATTTTGTTTGTTTCCGCCATTGCCCTGTTACCTCGTTTCTACTGAAGAGGAAATGCCCAAAGAAAGGAAAGAAACGCAGGTATTGACTGGGGGCTAGAAATTCATGGTGGCTACTCGACGGGCGGTGTTAGCTGTGGAGGGGAATCGGAGCAAGGATGTGGAGACTGGCGATTTTCTTTCCGGTTGCCAGTGACGAACAAGAAACATATGGCAGCCGTCTATACCAATGGCGACGAATGAGATTGCAATTGTGGCTGGAAACAACCAACGATCCCCCCGATGGAGGTGGTTCGTCGGTAATTCATTGGCTGCAGGGTAAGGCGAAGACTCCGACGACTGGAGATGGGGAAGACGGTTCTCCCCCCCCTTTTTTTTGTTCCTCGTCATCTGTAGAGATAGAGGATCTGATTTTGTCGGAGGTGCTATTTCATCAGTTTGGACCGGAGATGGCGATGGTCGACAGGATGTAGCATAGCGGTGACTGGCGCCGGAACTACTCCGCTGGGTCACCGATATTGAAGGTGGTCGACTTGCAGGTCTGATGGCGGTTTGCGTCAGAGCTGTTGCTACGGGAAGGCCGATGGGTGGCTGGCTTGAAGGTTGCTGCCAAGGCTGCTTCGCCATACGCCGCTTTCTCGAGATGACCGGTGACAGGAGGTGGCCTACCGGTGGTGATGGCGATTTCACTCCGGGGTTGCTATCATTGGGGGGTAGACAAATGGTCACGGTGGTGCTGAAGATGTTGTTGCTCTGACTACCGGTGATTCAACCGGTAACACCTTGGCTTCGTTCACCGGCGACTACAATTGTGACTCATTGAAGATGTTTGTCGGTTGGGTTAATCGGAGAAGCTTTCGTCTGCAAGGAGAGAAGTCCAGGTGGGACCCAGCTCTTGTCTTGTGTTGACTTTTAAGACGCGTGGGGCCCGCTTTGGCTTGTTTGCTAGTTTTGCTTATTTAAACTTTGTGGTGTAGACTGTATACCTATACCCCTCTTTTTATTTTGTCGGCTTGGGAGAAACAAAGAGCACCCAAACAATTTTGTAATATTTATTTTATATGTGTAATGTAAAACAACTTTTCTCTTCTTTTTTGTGTTTGGTCGAGATGTGCCAACAAGTATATCATTTTGAATTTTCCTTCCCTTTTTTTTTAACTGGTGGGATGGACAGTAACTATATTGACGGTAAATCTAATTCCTGAGGTAAAATAGGTTTTGGAATGTACAAGTACCACAGCTTACCACAGCTGTGTTTACAACTTACACACTTGTTCCCACAAATCATTACTGAAATGAATTTTAATTTGAAGTGAAATAGATGCTGAAAACTCATACTCAGATGGAAAATACATGGAGTGAAAGTGGGTTAAGACCCCTCAAAACTTCTACTCCCTTCTCCTTCTCTCTCTTTTTTTAAAAAAAAAAAGGTTTTGTAAAATGTACAAGCAACATAGCTGTGTGTACAAACAACTTTTCAGATGATGAAACAGGTTCAATCTAAAGAACGATTTTCTGATAATGTGTGTGTTGAAATGAAATAAAAAACTCATAAAAATTATTTTCTTTCTCCTTTGCTGATCAAACCACCAAGCTTAGATGAAAACACATCTGATAAGGTCTTTGCAACTTGGAGAATGTTTGAAAGAGAAAATAATGCTAAGACAGATCTGAAAAGATCTTGGCAAAATCAAATGAATCCTAAACAGATCTTGGCAAAGGCCAAACGGATCTGATGAGGTTTTCTTCTCATAAAACCTTCCCTACTCTTCAGCTTGCTCAACAAGTCTCAAAATCTTTTGTTCCATCTCTAAGCTTCTAGAGGAAGCACCAGATAAACAACTTGAATGAAGTTGCACATGAGAAATCAAGAAACAAAACCGATTTTCTCGAAAATGAGCAGGCAAAAGAAATAAAGACTTGCAAAATATTGTTTGTTCTTCCATTTACTGGATAAAGCTCGAAAATATGAACAAGATGGGAAAAATTCATAGAAATCTCTCTTCTCCCCAACTTTCTGAATACTCTATCAAAATATAGATGAAAATGAAACCTGATAAAGTCCTTTAAGACTTGAGAGTTGCTTAGATAAACTAAAACAAAACATATCTAGACATCTGAGCAAAAAACAATACAGATCTGAAGATCTAAGAGAGAAAACTCAAATAGATCATAAAACTCGGCAGATCAAGAGCTCTGAATGATGGTTAGACAGATCTAGAAAGATCTTGTCAATAACCAAATCGATTTGAGCAGATCTTGGCCAAAGCCAAACGGATCTGAACCAAATGGTGCTAAATATGAGCAGATCTGAGCAAACCTTAGATGAGAACACATCAGATCTGAAGAAAAAACGAGCTTGAAAGCAACTGAGGCTTTTGCTACTTGCTCGAATCCGGGATGGCGCCAAATGATGCGACATCAACCTCCGGCACATCTTCTGGTCTTCAGCTGCGGCGGAGATCTGGACATCACAGTGCAAACTCGTTAGAGCCGTCCCAGGGATTGTGCCCCGGGAGCGGACTCCGACGGTCAAGTTAGATCAGCTAAAAGATCTGAGATGGTCCTCCATAGCTGGAGAGAACCATCTTGGTGCTAGTGGTAGTGTATGGTGGTTGACGGCGGCGGGTGGCAGTTGAGCCACCCTGCCGGAATATAGTGGCGGCTGAGCCATGGGGAAGATCTAGGGAAAAGGTCCATCTCCATGGAGGAGGTACTGTTCATTATTTAGGGGGCAATTAGGTCAGGCCTTGGGCCAGCCCAATTCAGGCCCAGCTAGCAAGGAGCTGGGCGAGGCCACCCAGAGGCGCGGGGCGGGGCTGGCGGGCGCGCACCAGGATAGGATGGCAAGGGAGTGTCAGGCGAGGGAGCGCCTGGCCGAGCCGGCAGGAGAGTCCCCAGCAGGGCTGGCAAGGGAGTCCCCAGCAAGGCTCGCAAGGGAACGCCAGGCAGGGCTGGCAGGAGCGCACCAGGCCAGGCTGGCGCGCTAGAGCAGTCTAGGCCATGCCAATGGACCATACATCATCAACATGAGAAATATGGAATCTCTCATTGATGAGTTTTTCTTGATAGTTTCTGGTGAACCTATCAACTACCAAAACACTATATCAGATTTGAACCTGATAAATGACTTAGAGCCGTGAACATTGAGATGATATCAATGTATAATAATCAAGTATGAGATTGATTAACCTTCCTCCCTATAGTAAGACCAAAAGAAGTAAGTGATTCTTTCATAAACAAAAAAAGGGAGATATATACACATTAAGAAAGACTTGTTTTAAAAGGCCCTACACATACTCATTTCATTGACTATGACTAAACCTTTTCTCAAGTAGCTATAATTAGACCTACAAGGATATTATTTACCATATCTACATATTATGATCATGAGTTATGAAAAATAGATTTCAAGAAAAATGTTTTCCTTAATAGACACCTACTTGAAGATGTATATTTAGTTTAGCTTGAAGGTTTTGTTAATCCAAGATATCCTAACAAAGTGCATTAGATTTAAAATCCATTTATGGATATAAATCAAACATCTCAAGGTTGGAATCATCATTTTAATTATGAAAACACAAAGTATGTTTTCGCATCATAATAAAGATAACCTATGTGTTTACTAAGAACTAGTGGGAGCATAATGATATTCCTAATCTTGTATGAATAAGACATACTTAATCATGAGAAATTACATTTCGACTATGCAATGTCGTTTTTCCTTGACTTAGAAAGTATTTCTAAAATGAAAGACTTAGGAATGAGAAAAATACATTCTTGGAATGTAAAATCTATGGAGATAGATAAATATGAATGCTAAATTTTTTAAATATTCATGTATATATTGACAATATCTTGAAAGAGATCAAAATGCAAGATTCCTTTGGAGGAATCTTGACAATGTCACATGGGACCGTTTTGAGCCTACCTCAAAAGGTGTAACGTCTGTTGCAGGTATTATTTAATTTACCTAATTTTTAGGGTTTTGTACATGGACTCGGCGAGTTGGGGAGCTCCAACTCATCGAGTAGAGACCGTTATGAGGACGCGGATTTTAAATCCTACTCGACGAGTAGGTGCTGTAAAGGAAAAACCTACTTTTTAGGGTTTGCACCCTATTTAAAGAACATAACCCGCCTCTTGTGGCTTCCCTTACCACTTCATTAGCCAGAGAAAACCCTAGTTGGACCTTACACCTTCTTGAGTGAGAGAGAGAGAGCTTTTGTGAGCAATTTTGGTGTGGTTGTGAAGGATTTTGGAGCTTGAAGAAGAAGGAGCAAGGAGAGGAGTAGTAGATCCGACATCTACTCTGTTTTGGCAACCATCTTGAGGTATAAAGTCATTACCTTGTTCTTTAGTTGCTTAGATCCATTTTCTTTGAAGTAAATGGCCACTTTTGGTGCAAAATGGGGTCATACTCGGATTTGGACTTATCACAAGGATACGGTTCCAAATCTGGACCTCTCTAGGTCCCCAATAACATAAAGTTGCTCACTTTATCCATCTTAGACCCTTTCCATGCACTAAAACCTTGTAGGGAGCTTAGTTTTGATGTTTTAGCCTTGTGAAGCCTTGCATGCACGTAAAGTTTGAAACTTTACGTGGTAACAGTACTAGGGAAGGGTGGATCTGAAGTTTGGGACCTTAGATCCCACTGAAAAGGGTTGAACACAGAAGGGACTGAAGGAACTCGTCGAGTCCCTTAGTTGACTCGATGAGTCGGGTAGGGTTTACCCGTTTTCGTGATTCTGAATGAGTGCGGTGAAGGATTACAGTGATGGCTTGCGCGAACTCTTGGTTTTCTAGACATTGGATGAACTCGACGAGTCACTTAGGTGACTCGGCGAGTTGACTCGGGATTCAGTGGAATGGACTCGGGAAGAACTCGACGAGTTGAGGTCAACATGGACTGTTGACCTTGATCGTTGACCTTGACTTTGACCAGGGTTGACTTTGAGGGTATTTATGGTATTTTGGGATTGTGACAAGTTAATCACATGTCGATTATAGGCGGTTGAGTTAGGAGCAGTGCGTGGGATATATCTGATCTTAGCTTGTCAGTTCAGCATTCGAGAGGTGAGTCTCCTCACCATACCAATGGGTCTAAGGCACCAAGGCTGGCCTATTTTGTGATATGTGGTAGACTCTTTGTTGTAGAGATATGTGGTATGATAGTTAGTTATGTTCAATATTATGCTAGCTATATATGTGATATTTGTAGGGAAGACCATGGGAGGAGCCCATGACACTTGGATGTAAGACCATATGGGGGAGCCCATGGCTTTTCAAGTAAAGACCATGGGAGGAGCCCATGGAACTTGGATGTAAGACCATGTGGGGGAGCCCATGGCTTTCTAGCTAAAGACCATGGGGAGAGCCCATGGCACTTAGGTGTAAGACCATGTGGGGGAGCCCATGACATCCTGGAGTAAGACCTTGGGAGGAGCCCAAGGCATCCTTATATGTTTGTATGCATGGCTTATGTGGTATATATAGCTTTTATAGCTAATATGATATGTGCTTATGTGGATTGTGTGTGGGGTATGCTCTCGGGAAACTCACTAAGCATTAGATTACAGTTTGTTGATTTGTTCAGGTACATCTAAGCCTAAGGGCAAGGGCAA